AATATTTGGTTTGAACTGTTCTGGAACAGTGTTGTAAATACAACTTAACCAAGGATTTCTAGTTGTGTCCTCTTTTGGAAGGCCAAACAAAGTAGTTTCGCTTTCGCAACGAAACACAGCGTCTTCACAACATGGCGGCGCCGGTGGCAGCAACAATAACGTTACGCCTTCTTTCGTTGTGTGAACATTTGGGTGGCGTTATGCAAATCTTCCCCACATAGTGATGTAGACATGTGGGGGTGTGTTTTAAAGAGGGGTTTTAGGAGGGCGTGGACCAGTCTTAACTTTTATAAAGAATATCTCTTTGGGTTTGAGACTTTAGTCTTTGCAAATTTAGGGATCTTATCTATTCACGAACAGCTTGTAACACTCCAAAGAGAAAGGAAAACTTGAAATCGCATCATATGACCCCTTTAACATTATGTAACAAATAAAAAATGGGACACGGAAAAACAACGTCTAGAAACCCCCTCAAAAAGTATCTGTGTAGTTGAATAACTTGAATAACCGAGTTGAATAACTTGTTGTTGCGAGTTATCAGAGACGCAAAGGATATTTCTTAAATAATGTTTAATTTCAGTCTGTTTCTTACCAAACCCTATCACATACCCGCAGAAAACATGGTATATACATCACGTGTCGCATCTGACCACTCTGTGATACTTTCTTTTTTAAAAGCTTGATGTTGATTGCCATATACTTTCATTATATGGAAAAGCACAAATAGGACATTTTTTTAAATGATTCTTTTTGTGGTCCAAAAAAGAAAGAAGAGCAGAGTTTTTGAAGACAGTCCTATAGACAACAGTATTGCTCTCATAACTGCTTGGCAGACTTCCTTGTTTAGTGTGTTACGACATTTAGAGGAAAACCATGATGTCACAACTGGGATGAAACTTGCAGTACCTTTTTATTGTAGTACTTTTTTATTAGTATTGTTTTATTGTAACCCCTTATATGTGTAAATATATAGGATATTTTGATTTTCTATTTCATGACCACTTTAAATGAATAAATGTAAATTTGGGTGGGAATGTGTCACACTAGTCTTCAAATAGCTTATTGAGTATTTTACTTCTATTCATGCTACCACTACTATTTCCTTTGTCTACAGATCCACAGAGATCAGCCCACAAAGGTTTAAGGCTAACATATAACACATTTAGTCAGGTATATCAAGTTGTCATATAAAAGCAGACTTCACTGCTAAGAAGGAAAGCAGTGTCTTTTTTATCCCATTTGTTTTGCATCATACCATTTCCCTATTCTTCCAGTATTCCAAAAGGCAAATTCAGGTCCAAGAAGTTTCCAGAAAGTCTGCCAACTAGCTTCTCTGGCCTCTTGGCAAGAAATCCCCATCTGAATAGCCACTACAATATCACAGAAGCCTCTTCTGCTTAATAAGTAAGTATACATGAGGAAAGACGATGATGAGAAGACTAAAATATTATGTCCCTCCTCAGAGGGGCCCTTTAGTTCAATCATAAAATTGAGACGTCGTAAAAGGATACTCTGTAAAAACAACACAGACACCAAAGGGGTCTTACCTCTCATCCTCCTCCATGTGACCAGTAGTGTTTGGAGTGCCCTGCATGGATTGGAGACCCTCCGTCACCCCCTCATCCAGGGAGCCTGAAGAGAGAGCAGAAGGTCGTTTCTGAACCTCTGTTCCAGTAAAATCTTAATATTTTGTCATCTACTTTTATTTTAAACACATACAGCCTCAGACAAATGTTCTCATAAGTGCATGAAATAATCAGAGATTAACAGTGTGATAAATATGAGGTAAATATGACATTTAAAAATTAAGTAAACATAAGGTTGATTCAGTGAAATGTTAACAGCAATTATGACTTTGATAATCTACTGACTCACTAAACACGTGGGTCAATGACATGAAAGTGCTTATAATAAAGAAATGTCACATGTGTTCTAAACTTGATTTCTAAAACATTTTTCCAAGTTCTTATAAATGTACTCTTTGTATTCATGTTGATTTCTTATGGTTTGGAAGAACTTTCAAGAAGGTTTCAATTTAATGACTTAAATGTCATGTGCAACTATCAAGAAATTTTTTTTTTTCATATGAATGAAAACACATCATAATTGCAAAAAGTGTTGTGAAATATACACTGCTATTGAAATTTTTGGGGCTAGTAAGAGTGGTTCTGAAAGACGACTCTTGCTCACCAAGGCTGCATTCATATGACCAAAAATACAGTAAAACTAATATGGTGAAATAATACAATATTTGTTTTCTATTATATCATATTTGATGGCAAAGCTTATCACAAATATTATTAACATTATTAAAATAATAACAATTATTATTAATTCACAGTCACTGCTATTTTTCAGGATTATTAGATGAATAGAAAGTTAAAAAGAACATCATTTATTTTTGTAACAGTATTTTGTAACATTATAAATGTCATTACTGTCACTTTGATCAATTTAATGCATTCTTGCTAAATACAAGCATTAATTTCTTTAAAATAATATTTTATTTTTTTTACAAACATCATGAATTATTATTAATACATTTCATTACTTTTTCGAGTGTCACACCACATGATATTTTACAAAATAACCAAAATATCGAAATAAATTTAGGGTATCACTATTAGGTAAAGAGTAAAGAGTCTTACCAATGGATGAGGACTGAGGGCTGATGAGTAGATCTTCTTGGGTGTGTTCATTGCCAGGAACCGTCTGCTGGTCACTCAGAGAACTGTGTGGAGCACTGACTGGTTGAGAAGCTTCTTCATGCACTTCTTCATCACTCAGCCTTTCCACCTTCACCTGCACATCTTCTTCTTCCTCCTCCTCCACCCCTGCTGCGCCCCCTACGCCCAGGCCATGTGGGCCCTCGCAGGCCAAATACTCCACCAATGCCCGTCCACTAGAGTCCTGCCCCGGTGCTCCAGATGGTTCCAGGAGGCCTTCAGGAAGTTTTGACTTTTCTGCCGCAAACCGGCGGTCCACACCAAAGGGGTATGTCCAGGAGAAGGCCAGAGATGGTTCCAGAGCCTGCGCTGAACTCTCTGGGAAGGAGGAAGAGGAGGGAGAGGGGTTGGGGACTTGCGGAGAGGTTGAGGATGCTGGTTGCGGGCTCGCAAAGCCTTTGCGCTTGCGTCTAGACTCGCGGCACACAGGAATGGGCCGCTCCGGTACGCTGCATTCGGATGAGACCGGAGACGGCGAGAGGGCATCTACAGGGGCGAGGGTGCAGCTCGCATGGCCTTCAGGGGTCTCTTGGGGTCTGTGTAAAACTGGAGGCTGGGTGCTACCAGGACCTCCTGCTGCTGAGGATGCAGAGTTCCACAGGATACTGGACTTCATGAACTCAGAGCAAGTGTTGGCCACCGCAAACATCTGCATGTAGCTAGCAGCTGCCAGTACGTCGATGATATTCTCCGTACTAATGGACAGGGTGGACGTGTACGCATATTCCAGAAGAGGAGCGAAACCTGCGACCGTCACGTGTTGGAGATCCAGCACATGTTTGTTATCTTCACCTACTATTACAGTGTCTTCTTCAGCCGGCTTCCCAGAAAGCTTCGCTCGAAGGAAGTCACTACAGCAGGCTAGCACTACCTTGTGGGCCGAGAACATCTGGCCTTGTACGCGGATGGTGACGTCACAAAAGTGGCCCTCACTGCGTAGGGTGTTGAGCTTATCTAAAAGCTCTTGGCTGTGGTTGGGGGAGTTGTGAGTGAAGGTTTTCACACCCATCCTTCACAGCAGGAAGAGGAGTCTGGACTGCCTGGAAAGAATAAGATACTTTAGTGCAACAAAATGGCTAATAAAAGCAAGTTATGTTTACATGGTTGGATACAATTGAGCTACAACAGCTTTTTGTTCTGTTGTAGTTCTAAACATGACACAATCTGTAACTGAATATTTGAAGTAGGGATGTAAGTTTGCAGGAATATTCATAATCATTCAAATTAAAGGGATAGTTCACGGAAAAATTAAAATTCTGTCAACATTAACTCGACATAATTTCATAAAGTGTCAAACCTGTATGACTTACTTTCTTTTGTGAAACATAAAATAGATATTTTGAGGAATGTTGTTCTCAAAACATTTTCTTTTATTTTTCGCAGAAGAAAGAAAGTCATGCAGGTTTGGTACATGAGGGTGAGTAAATGATGACAGAATTTTTATTTTTGGGTGAACTACCCCTTTAACAATCGATTAATTGTTAAACATTAGTATTGCAAAAACATGAGAACTCCAAATATCTTGCACACAGCCTACTTTAAAAATTTTATTTAATATTATGTGTGTAATAATAAAAAAGTACCCGCAAAAAAAGACTTTTTCAAATTGTACATTTTTTATGTTTTCCTCCCAAGTAATAGTTCATCCATCTCACTTATGTCACTGGCAAGGAAAATTTCTCCTCACTGCTGATCTAGCAAAGCTACTTATACAGACAGAAGACACGCACATGGCTTTACACCTTCAGCACTTTTCAGTTCCAGTGGTCCTTATGACACAAAGCACAAGCACATACTTAGAATGATTCAGAGCTGAGGAATCCTGATTTTGTCACATTTCCAAGCCCAAATAAACTCCCTCAAATAACATCTGCCGAAAACTGGTATTGCATTGCTTGGATCCAGCTGACAGCTAACAGAGGGATGGCAGATATGTCTAAACAATATGGATATCCAAATGAGTCCGGCTGGGTTTAGAGAGAAAGGGATCATCTCTGGTCCTTGACTCACGCTGTTAAACGTTTGCAACTGCAGTGGAGATGAAGTAAGCAATCATTTAATTCTTAGAAAGATAATACTTTCAATTCTTAGAACAGCAAGATGCATTCCACAGTGACAGAGACTTTACAACAATTTTGGGACAAATGAACGCGTAGAGCTATAAAAAAAGCCATAAATCCTTTTGCCACAGCACATTTTTTGTGAAAATGTTTATAAAATGCATCGTTTAAGGATATCAGTTAACGTAGTAACTTATTAACAGTAAATAAATTAAATTCGTTTGTTTTAAAGGTTTATAGCCCACACCAACATTATTCTAAAAAAATGAGCAAAAAAGTACTGTGAACAAAGAAAGTTATAAAAGCCCATCTCTGCCACAAAAAAAAGCAAAATTGACATAAAAGGCAAACTTACGACATCATGACAAAAATATCAGATTCAAAATATCAACTATCAACATGTCATAACTATGACTTATGTCTTAATTATAAATTAGTATGTCATCATTTTGACTTTTTATGTCAGAATTATGATTTACAAAAGTTTTTTTTTTTTAATGTGATGAAACTGGGCTTACATAGAAAATATACATTACAACCCGGATATTTAAATAAGTATAAATCAACTACTATTATATTTTAGGAAGGATGAAAATTTGACAATTTTTCATCATATCATCATCATTATTAGAAGAAAGCGGTTTGGAAAAACACAAAGGTGAATAAGATTTTTTTTTTTTTCTTGAGTTCCTTTAAAAGGCTTCCAAAACGAATATGAAGGTGACAGGTTCAAAATATATAACGACTGAAGATTTATCCTGAATTACCCACTTAAAATATTTTAGAAAGGGGCGTTTAGGGGGAACGTATCATAAATGCCATACCAATATCAAAAAATATAAAATAAAATAAAAACTTAATTACAGAAATCACCCATCCATTAATAGTTACGGGAAGGGACAATGGCATCTTATTGATGGCTGTCAAATTCTCTCTTAGAGAAAGTTAGGGGCGTGGCTTTACACACGAGTTGCTTTTGTTTATGTATCAAATAGCAAACATTTATTCCCAGTAGTAGCCGTAACAGTATAATTCTCACTTGTTTATATCCAACTCCCGAATCGAAGCTTTAGATTGATGCATCTGATGCACACTTGAATTTCTGAATCACCAAAAACTGCGCATTTTGACAGGTTGGATGTGGCCTGGATGTGTAACCTAGAGAGTTAGGTTACGATTAATATATGAAAGCCCAATGCGAATTAACAATGTGACATTATCAGAAACTCGTGCATAAAATATACTCAAGAAAATGAAGATGCATTACGGTTTTCAGAGTCCGAAAACAACGTCCAGCTAACCTGCTGCATTCATTGGCTAGCTCGCTAATCTCTGACGACAGCTAAAACAGTGTCGTCAGTGTCAACACAGTGTACGAAACATTACTTGCGTTGGATGTATATCTGTGCAGCTCACCGGTAACAAAGAATGGACGAATCCGTTGAAATGTAAGACAACTATAAGCGCATGAATGTGATCCAGCAGCGCGCTAACTAGCCGCTAGCATTCTGACACTTGCACAGAAGTACTGTCGCTTCTTGACAGCATCGTCACATCCCGATAAATCACGAAGTCGAGTGCCCCCGTTTGTATTAAATAGCAAAATCATAAAAAATAAGTCTGTTCAAAATTTCATTATGTATAAAATGCATTGGAATCTCGTCTGACAGGTTTGAGGCTGATGTTTACATATTGTATCCCAGAATGCTTTTCACGGGGCTCGTGCGACTGACCTCTCATTTTTACTGATGACTTCAAAAGCGCTGTGATGACGCAATAACACAAAATAAAAGCACGGTTTTCATTTTTGTAGACCATTTAGAAGGTATTAAAGAGTTTTGTTTCAGACTGCATAGTTATAGGTTACTGGTTTTAGAAAGCTCTTTTGTCGTGTTGTCTTTGCCCTTTTTGAGGTTATGAAATAACTTTACATGTGACAGGGTAGTTACTAATGTATTCTTAAAAAAAAAAGTAAAAAAAAAAAGAAAAAAAAAAGATTTGATTGAATGTAGGAAACTTACCTTCCTCACAAAATCTACTGGAGTAAGCAGACATGCACAGAACTCTCTAACACAGACTCCTTATTTAACTACATTTGCATATTCTCTGAGTTTTAATTGGCACCCTGAGGTTTCATCTTAGTTCCCAGTATTTTGTTAGTCTGGACATACAACTTTTCATGCATTTGTTTTGTATGCACAGCTGTTCATTGATACAATGTTTTATGAATTCATTTGTACACTTAAGGTAACAATGTAGCTATTGGTTAACAATGTGTTGACATGGAGGCCTTACAAATGAATCAAGAAGAATTGTATTATTGTAGACATTTAATTGATTTAAATTCTTACATCAATCATGTATAAGACAGACAGCAGCATCAAGAAAAAAAAACATTAGGTGTTGAAGGTAGAAAAATAAATAGCTTGTAAAAGGAAGCTATAACAATAGCATTGTGCAGACCTTCATTGAAGGGATAGAATGCTTTAGTTTCAAATATGCACCATTTCAAAACTTGCATACTTTTGACTCAAATGGAATGCAAATCTTTTCTCTCATATTTATTAATTTTTTACAGGTTCTGTTCAATTACATTACAGGCTAAGAAGATTTGCAAGTATCAAATTAAATGTAATTTTGCCATATGTGAAACGGCTCTTGCAACAAATATCAGTGATCGTACGGCTAAAGGGAAAATTTCAGAAATATCAGCCATGTCTGCTCAGAACTGCTGCGTTAGAACTGTTTGCCTATAGTTGTCCTATTAAATAAAATACTATTTATTAACAACATTCAGATTAGTTTTTCTCTTCTTTCTTATAATGGGTGAGTGGGTGATAGATTTTTAAATGCATTTATACAGTGTCAACTAAAGCTTGGAAGAGTAAAGACAAATTAACAGAATATAGATTGCAAAGATGCATGCAATCTCAATGTGTCTTTCACAGGAAATGTATTTTCTCTTTTTGTGTCTTAGCAATCATTGCAATTATCTTGAGGGCACATGTGTGTCCAATAATATACAGTAATTATCCACTTCTAAATGAACATTTAGCAATAAATTACTTTCTCCTGTAAACTCACATATGCCAGTATCGGTTATATTAAATGATCCCTTTTAAGTAATGTGCACCAGTGGATGCCAATAGAGAAATTAATGAATTAAAGGCACACTTAGTTGCTCTCAAACTGGGATAGCTTGTTGCCTCATGTACAGAAAGACCAACAGTGTGTGAGAGAAGGCGATTCCACTTTGATTCTTCATTACAAACTAAAATCATTCATCCAAATCAACAGTCATAGCCAGGCAACATTTTAAAGGTAAAGTTAGCATATTTGCATCTATTCCAACAGCTCTCATCTGTGTATGTTGTTCACATACAGCTATTGTGAGACTAGTAAAGGACTGTACTTCCAAATACTGCTTCCTCCAGTGTTGCAATATGAAAAATCTGAAAGCCTTTGAGGGTGATACCAGTATTAAAAGGAGTAGATATTAATACGAAACAGACTCAATGCTACAAAACATAAGCTGGCAATTAAAATAAATGTGTGAAATCAATTAGTCTAGCATGTATAAAGATACTAAAATGCAGTTCGTTGTGGACAGTTCTAGAAAGGTGGATGATCTGACTTGAATCATTTATGACCATCTTTAGGTACCTTAATTTGGGCTCATTTCAGCAGGTTTGTGCAAATGTTTTCCAACGGACTCCTCTCTAAACAACTGTGAACATTATGAAGCTTGTATTGACTGAGGTAGATCTCCGTGGGAGGTTACCTTTGTGGTTAAAAGACAGAGAATTAGACTAAACCATGATATAGATAATAACTCTTATCAAATGTCCTGGTTATGCTTGACAAGTGATCTCCAATCTAATGCTCTATCCCCAAGAGCTTCTTAGCTCGTTTCTAAAGCTTTTTCTCAGTCACTACGGATGCCACCACCTCCTCATTCTCTACTACTGCACACAATGTCAGCTTTAGCAGTCCTGATAAAAACATTCCGCTACAACTACCTCTGGCCTCTTGTCTGGGTTGCACTTCTCATGCTCTAGAACCTTGCCCGTGTAGTCCATGCAGACTACAGTGCGGTGGCGCTGTCCGACTCCACAAGTCCGTGAGCACGCTGACCACGGCCCCATTTGCCACATGGGACAGGGCAGATCCCCACAGGGCCGGATGTCTGCCGGTCTCAGGTCGGCATCGCAGAGGTAAGACAAGGATCCCTCCCCATCTCTACACTCCACGCTTCTCCTGGACCATCCAGCACCACAGCTCTTGGAGCACTCAGACCACTCACCCAGGACCCAGTCAGCTCCCCCAAAGGGCAAGATGACATGTGGCGAAATCCTGCTCTCTGTGCCAGGCTTGCTAAAAGGCACATCCCTCGGCAAAAAGAAAGTATACTTGATTCTAGGGGGTGAGGTGTCCCCAGCGGTGGACAGCAGCTGGATGGTGATGGGCTCCCGAAGTCTGTGAAAGCTGAGGAGGCGCTCCAAGGTGGTGGAAGAGCCGCTGTAGCGTAGCATGGCGCCAGGCACTGGGATGTCCTGCTCTGCCATAGACACGGAGAAATTCCCATTCAGGATGTAGGTTCCGTCTCCTGCCTTTACCGCCAAGTAGTTACCGTCGTGTGCGATGCCTCGATGGCTGCGCTGTTTTATGTCAATATTAGTCGCCCCAGCAGGGATGGTAACAATATCAGTGTAGCCAATACTGTGGAGATATTATAGGCAAACAATGTTTCATATGAATATCAGTACAATATTGGTTATCGGGTGACATTACACTCTTAAAATGAAAGGTTCTTTATTAGCATCTCTGGTTCCATGAAATATCTTTAACATCCATGGAATCTTTCCATTGCAGAATTTTCCATTGTTCTTTACTCTGAAGGTGTGGTACACCTTCTAATTGAATAGGTTACTATTCCAATAGTAATCTGTTCTTTCACAATTTTTATGTGAGGGCGAAAAACTTTCCCATGCAGGTTTTGCTCATTTTCAAGTTGGTCACATGAATTTGTCGCATTGACCAATAAAAACTTGCTTGTTTTGAAAGTGACTTGTGTGTGAAGGGTGCTTCATACATTTCTGTGTTAGTGACAATAGAGGGTATATGCATTGATGTCACTTTCGTGACAGAACATGCCCACTCAGCCAGACTGAGTGGCAACACGTCTTGCAACTTGGCTGGCACTAGTAGAACTGTGAAAACGGGAGTAAAAAAAATATTACCTGATTAAATTAAAGGCAGTTGGACTCAGAGAACCAGTGGTCCATGTACATACTGTAGCATACTTGATCTGTTAGACAACACTATAAATGCAATATAGCTAGATCCAAATATGGATGATCATTGTTATGTATTGTCATATCACCCAGCCCTAAAACTTGTTAAAGGCAGAAATGACATTATGTCAAAAGTGACGAGAACCCAAATGAATATTTTGGTTGTTTCAATATATTTTGTAGAAACTACATTTTGTTTTCACTGCATTCAAGCTGAACACTAATGCTGCCACTCAGTGGGCATAACCCTCTATAGACAATGGACTTTTTTTGTTTGCAAAATTTCGTTGCAATTTTACTACTGTGACCACACCTTAAAGACAAAAAACTTTCTTTTAAGAACTGTTCACAGAACAATGGTTCTTCTATGGTATCATTGTGAAAACCCCCTTCTGGAGCTCGGAATTTTTGAATTTATCAATATTATATTGGATACTTCATTTGTACATGATCATTTACCCTTTTCTACATTTAGACTACCTTAGCTCACTTAAAGACAATCTATAAAAACAGAATAATTTAATAACACTGTTCCACTGGTATTCTCCATTGAATATCCATTTTTCATACTGTACATTATAATATTGTTATGGATAGATTCAGTTATATCAGTAGCTCACACCTTTGTTCCATAATTTTAAATGGCATTAGTAATGCTTACATATACAATCTATACTTACGTAGCTTTGTTTAATGAGCTGCTTATTTTCCTACAGTTCGTACCGTCACCTCCGCAGATACCACACTTATCCAGCTTTTCATTGGAGCCTATCACCTGGTCACAACCAGCTTTGATGCACTGGCCCTGAACACAGATAGATGTGGTGTCTGGCCCACAGGTGGTGCCATCCACGACCTGCACAGCACATATGAAACATCAGCATTAGAATAGACAGAAAACCATAAACAAAACACTTTTATTGCAGTGGCAGCCTAAGTGCTCCAGTGTATTCTGTTCTAACATAATGGCTATTCCACATAAAGCGGAATAGCAAAAACTCTGGGTGGATGACGCAAAACCAAGTACATTTCAACTGTATCTGAAATATCAGTTACAGAGGTGCACTCAAGAGCTTAAGCAAGTAGCTGGACTGTAGGGTTAGGGTGCTCAGGTTTCACATTTTACAACAGGGAAAATATTTCATGCATGAGAGTTTAGTGGGAGTGTAAAGATATCAATGGGCCTGTGGCAAGAGGAAAGTCTAAGAAAGAGATCATCTGACGTCTTAGTAAAGCTTTAGAGCAGGCACATACACAGAAGAGACTAAAATTTCTTTCACATGTTGTCATTATTGCTGATCAGATTAGAAAACATTTTCAATGGATGTGCACCTTAGCTTCAAAAACTTTGAATTCATTGCTCCCTTTGGCTCGGCAGACGAGTTTGCAGCGGTCTCGTGGAGAG